TACTTTTTTTTGTATTTACTCGGTATTATATATCATTGAATACATAATGTAAATAACAATTATAATACATGTTATAATTACTCATGTATAATATGTATGTTCATTTTATTAATACTTATCGATAAGCTATAGTAGTTTTGCTATTTCCTCATTAGATTTCCCTAGCTTATGTTTATATCTGTAAGCCAACACTAATCTCTCACCAAGACACCTGCCCTGTTCTCCACTGGCTCTCCTCACACCACAGCTCAACTTGTCTTCTCTGACTGCTGTTTTGTCTATTAGCCTGCCCCTGATCTCTTGGCCGCATTGCAGGTTCATATTTATATGGCTGAGGGCCATCGTACTCATTTAAATACACATTTGCGATTTCCTCGACTGAACTCTCATTAGGATCCATTGTGAAACTATCGCACTTCTCCCCATTTCGACATCACTTCTAGTCTAGCGATTTTTAGATACGGAAGAAAAAAATTACCACTATAAACGACTCCAGATGTCGTAATAGCGTACTTTAAGGTTTTTTTTTTTTTTTTTAAATCTCGTTCTTACTTTATTTTTCTTCACATTGACTCACTGGGGTGTCTAACCTACAATATGCTCTTTAAGATCTGATTTCTTAAAAAAAAAAAAAAAAAAAAAAGAATAAAAAATAAATAAATAAAAACAGCAATTTTCAGTGTCTTGCTGAGATACAATATAAAGTGAGAATCACGTCAAATAAGTGCATTAAATTATATTTTCTGCTCCATGTCATTAAAATATGATTTTTTTGTCTGATTGTATTTTAATTACATTACAACATCGATGCTGGAAAACGAACCTTGGGAAATTGAAAATAGTCAGATAAAGCTTTCACCAGAAGTTCATCATTGGCTAAAAAACATTAGCTGTGCATATATTGTCATATAGTTCATACATAGTTTTTTTCAAGAGATCTTTACATTTTTCCATATATAACATTTACTTGTTGTCTATTTATATTTATATTTTGTATGTTTTCTAGTAACTTTGAATTTTTAATGCAAAAGATTAAATGTATAGTAGTAGGCCTAACAAATTTGCATAAAACTGTAGCCTATAATTACTTGTAACTCATTTAATTAAGAGGTGCCATTTACAGCTAGTTTGGTCAATGACTTAAGTATAAAAAATTGTTTATCTGTCCCATAAGTATTGCTTTTAAGCTTAAGTCTTTACACTAAATGGCAGAGACAGTAGGCATTTCATATGTGGCTGATGTTCTGATGTCTGTTTAGTGCTTTGCTTTGTTTGATGATGTTTCACAGCTGGGAATACATGTATGTTTGTCTCTGTGTGTGTGTGTGTGTGTGTGTGTGTGTGTGTGTGTGTGTGTGTGTGTGTGTGTGTGTGTGTCAAACTGACAAGCAGTGTTTTTACAGGACAAGTGCTCTCAGGTGCTGATGACACTGCTGTGTGTCCAGCAAACAGAGAAGAGATGAGCCTGCCACTGGTTCTGAGATTGGATGAGAAGAGCAATTCCTCCGGGAAGAAGGTCACTCATCCTCTAGCCGTTTATGGAGCATGCCCAGCGTCTAAAATGATCTGCTGCTTGCTTTCACTGGATACCGGTGAAGCAGCAGCTTACACTCATCTATCTCTGTCCCCATTTTTAGAAGCATTTACTCATTGTATAAGACAGTGGTTCTCAAATGGTTTTGCATCATGATGTAACTCAATACCAAAACCAGAAACTGTTCTGCAAAAGCAATCAAATACTATTTTACTGAAATATGGACTGCCTATAGACACTATATATGTCTCCTCTTTAATTTGAATGCTCAATTCACAGCACAAATAGTTGGTGGATTTCATAAGCCACAATTGTACACCATTATTTTTTTGTTTGCTCATACTTTTTAAGAATAAGGGCCATGCTGTACACTACCTGACAAAAGTCTTGTCACCAAGTGTAAGGAACAGCAAATACTATTTCACTTCAAGTTGATCATTTGGTATAAGAAGTGGCTTATATGAAAGGCAAAGGCCTCTATAGATTACGCTTATTCTACCAAAATAAAATACGATCATGCTTTGATTTTTAATTATTTAATTAGGACAGTAAGGTCAGACTTTGCTTAGACAAAAGTCTTTTCACTTAACAGAAATAATGTACAGTATAGAATATAAAGTCATGGAGCAGTGGAAAAGAATTAATATTGTGTTTGACTCCCATCAGCTTGGAGGACTGCATCCATAGTCCATACATCTCTGCAATGACTCAAATCACATATTAATAAAGTCATCTGAAAGAAAGCGTTCTTGCAGGACTCCCAGAGTTCATCAAGATTCTTTGAACTCATCTTCAATGCCTCCTCCTTCATCTTACCCCAGACATGCTCAATACTGTTCATGTCTGGTGACTGGGCTGGCCAATCCTGGAGCACCTTGACCATCTTTGCTTTCAGGAACTTTGATGTGGAGGCTGAAGTATGATAAGGAGCGCTATCCTGCTGAATAATTTGCCCTCTCCTGCGGTTTGTAATGTAATGGACAGCACAAATGACTCAATACTTCAGACTGTTAATGTTGCCATCAGCTCTGCAGACCTCTTGCATGCCACCATACTGAATGTAACCCCAAACCATGTTTTTTCCTTCAACAAACTTGACTAGTTTCTATAAGAATCTTGGGTCCATGTGGGTTCCAGTAGGTCTTCTGCTGTATTTGTCATGATTGGGATGCAGTTCAACAGATGATTCATCGGAAAAATCTACTTTCTGCCACTTATGAAATGATCAACCAAGTCAAGTTATTATTTGTTGCTCTTACAACTGGGATCGATGATAAGACTTCGGGTATATGTATTTAAGCCTTTTTAAGCTGACAAAATATACCAAAAGTGATTTTTGTCACTCTATGTTGATAATACTTAAGCAAGCATAATTATGCACAATTAAAGTTTAAAACTTCATTTTATGCATTTTGCATTGTCATAAAGGTCTGCAACTTTATTGGGGTTATGCAGAGCGAACTTACTGTGGATATATTTTGTAATACAGGCCTCAATGATTCCAGTTCTGGGGTCTGATTATTAAAATTTGCATAGAAACTTTCCAAAAAATCAACATACACTAGAATAAATTGTCATTAACTTAATAATTATATATATACAGTTGAAGTCAGAATTATTAGCCCTCCTTAATTATTAGCCTTCCTGTTTATTTTTCCCCCAATTTTTGTTAAACGGAGAGCAGATTTCCAAACAATACAACTGATTTATGTTATCTTTGCCATGACGACAGTAGATATTATATTTATTATTTCACTAGATATTTTTCAATACACTTCTATACAGCTAACAAGGCTGGTTAGGCTAATTATGACAATGGTTTGTTCTGTAGACTATCAAAAAAAAAAAGTTGAATAGGGCTAATAATTTTGTCCTTAAAATGGTTCTTAGAAAAATAAAAACTGCTTTCATTCTAGCCAAAATAAAACAAATAAGACTTTCTCCAGAAGAAAAAAATATTATCAGACATACTGTGAAAATTTCCTTGTACTGTTAAACATCATTTGGGAAATATTTAAAAAAGAAAAAAAAAGTCAAAAGGGGCTAACAATTCTGGAAAAAAAAAAAAAAAAAAAAAAAAAATATATATATATATATATATATATATATATATATATATATATATATATATAATGATAATAATTTTTGATGATTATAGCTCATATGATGATTTAAAGTAGTTAAATCATGTTGATAATTAAGTTAATTATGTTTACTTAGAGTTTATTATCAAGATTGTTTTTAATGGTTTACGCACATATTCACCCCATTTAGTGCACACACCACATATATAAATGAGACCCCAGGTCATTTTTACAAAGAGACTTGAAGTCATGTCAAGTGTAAAGGCCATGTACACCTGAATGATTTTCGCTTGCACTAATGAATGACACCTTGTGAATAAACAAAGGATCAGCCAAACAAATACGCGAAAAGCCATGCATAAAAGTGTCATCAATTGTTCATGTTTTACTTTTGGTCACGTGACTGGAGCTGCTAAAGACACCGCAAAAGACGACTTGGTCAAACACAAAACAGTCTAGGCGAGCACACATGAATGGGATGTGCTGAGGCCAGATCAATGGGGTTGCTTTTTTCTTTGGTGTTTAAACTATGATAAACGCAACAACAACTACAAAAAAGTTGGCAAGAGGGAGTTATTATGGTTGGAGATCAAAAATAATTCGTTAATGACTTTCACATCAATCTTTTTCATGACTTGTAATTTCATTAAGCACCACCTAACATTAGGAAGAGGTTTTGCATGTTTACTCTGCTCATCACCAGTGAAAATTGCTTGAGTATGAATGCTAAAAAATGACTAGAAAAAAATGCTGATGATGAGTGTGATTGAAAATCTCACTGGCGTGCATGAGCGTCACACCAATTAGTGTAATGGTACAGAGATGCAGAGTTTTCACTACACCAAATACAGTTTTATTGTTGTTGATTTATATCTTTTGCGAAAAAATCAACAGCCTCTTGGCTAATCTGCAACATGTTTGAGCTTAAATGTTATGTTTAGGTGGTTAACTTTTTTCAATTCAGGTCAATCTGTGCTTTTTTAAATACTATTGGTTGGGTTAAGGGAAAGAGGAGGGTGGTTTAGTCGACAAGTCAGTCAGTCGACAGCAGCCTCTGGTGGATTTATGCTAGAACAGCAGGCGAAAATGGCACTCGCGAGAGAAATTTGAGATCTGAAAAAGCATACACAGCGGCCTGGTGGATTCGCAAAAACAAAAATTGCCCAAAAAACGTAGCTCCTGGGACGCATTTGGCGCTCACCAGAAGTATTTATAGTGGTACGTTTTCAAAATGAGCCTGGGTTATTAAAACACCCTGAAAGCTACCATTTGAGAACCACGAGTTAAGATGAACAGTCGATTGAGACATTTGACCAAAGCAGACCAACACTCATTAAAATGCAATCACATGCTAATAGTCAAAGAAGTTGCACAACAAAGTGTTTTTTATACTTTTAAATAATTTAATACTTGTTAAAATTATTTGGTTTACTACATTTGACCTGTGTATCACACTAAACATACAAAATAACAAGAAATAGTTAATCCATAATCCAATAAATCAGGGGTCACCAATCTCGGTCCTGGAGGGCCGGTGTCCCTGCAGGGTTTAGCTCCATCTTGCCTCAACACACCTACCTGGGTGTTTCAAGTATACCTAGTAACACCCTGATTAGCTTGTTCAGGTGAGTTTGATTAGGGTTGGAGCTAAAATCTGCAGGACACCGGCCCTGCAGAAACAAGTTTGGTGACCACTGCAATAAATGATGCATTGTTGGTGTAACTGTAACCCTTCTATGTGAAATGAGAGCAGAACACTGGGCTACGGCTCAAACTACCCGACGACAGTGTAGCACAGACAGAGGTCATTGTGTACAGCACCTAAAACACCCTTTACACTATTAACACCTTTTCAAGTACACTTGAATACAATTTCAACTCATTTAAACTGATGTTTTTGTACAGCAGGTCAGAAATATATATTTAGATACAAACAAATCAAACTCTGTTATCTGACTGGCGTGTGTGAAATGAAAAGAGGAGAATCGCTTAAATCAATGAACACACAGCAAAGTGCCAAGATTCTCCTAATCACATCAGGATAACAAAGAGCCAGGTTGTCAGAGATCTGAGATTTCAGTCCGTCGATTGGGCTTTATCGCATTTTCTGGAAGATTTGCTGTAGCCGTTGAGCTCCGGATGTTCATTATTTCCTACAAACACCCTGTGACACAGAAGCTACCGTCAAAGTGAAACTGCACCAACGCTTCGGTATTAAACGTTAAAATTCATTTCGATAAAAATAAAAAACGACAAGAATAGAACCCTACAGGCATAAAAAAATATTCCTCTTTTAGTTTTCATGATACATTTCAAGTACACTAAGTTGAATTCACATCAAGTTTAGAACATCTCAAAGCAGAAGCACTAAATTCACTCACATCATCATAAGCTTGAGTTGAACTATGTGTTTGACACGGACAGCTCTTTAGGGAAATTCATTCTCATGTATTTTGTGCAGAGATTCCTCTTCTGTATGTAAACTGAGCTCCCAGCTCGTCTTGAACTATTTAGCGCAGCATGTTAGCACAGACGCATGTCCGAGTGATTGTTCACATTCACAATAATAATATGAAATCAGTGCTGAGGCAGCACAGAATATTGCACGTTCAAACGTCTGAGACACAATAGTACTCTGTACAGTATGTACACAATATCTGTGCTCTGTGTCTCCAGAGTGTGCGTTAGGCGAGGGGTTTCTCCCGCTGAGTCGGGTCAGGGTGTGTTGATATGTGTGGTTTTGGATGGGGGTTTGTAGAGTTTCTTTGGGATTTTGAGTTTCAAGAATTGCACTTGACTTATTTTGTATCACTTACAAGAGGTTAAGAAAGATATGCAACCCATCCAAAAGCCCTGAACATGCATTATGCTTAACTGGTACAGTTGGGTTTTGTTATTAAATAGTTTTTATTATAGTTTTATGTTAATCAATTGTTGTAAAAAATACTTTCTTTTTTTTTTTAGTTTAAATATTTGTATGCACTTCCGGTATGCAAACAAATTTTCTTTATCTAACACCGTTTACAGTAATATTCAGCAGTCGGCAAACTTTAATGCTCTCTAAGGCAGTGGTCCCCTACCCCCAGGTCGCGGACTGGTACTGGTTCGTGGATCAATTGGGCCGCACAATAAATCAAATATTATTTCCATTTTATTGAAATATTTTTCCATCTTTTATTCTAAAAATCTTTTCATTTTGAAAAATGGCCGTATTCTCTCAGTTACATCTCGTTTACTTATGTGCCAACATTTAATCCACAAGCAGCAAAATGAGTGAGGAAAATTTCTTTGTGAAAGGGAAAAGGCTCAGTGAAGGACCCGCAAACTGCTGAGGAATGGATCCGCAACCTATTTGTCAACAAATCAGGTGAATCCAGCATGTCTGTGCAAGAAAATCAACTACTGGAGATTGCAAATGACGGCGGCCGTTCACATATTGAGTCTTTTCCGCATGCAAACTTGTTATTTCTAATGGAGGAGTGACGCGCAGGAGCAATGCACCCAGTTGCTGCGAATAAATTCTGTATGGAATATACAAATTTTGGTAGACTAATTAGCTCAGCCAAACACTGCAGTGCTTTTTAATTCTCTACATAAATAAAACTTGTATCAGAGTTGCAGCATTGTTTTGTCGGCTTGTCATCCTCTGAGAAAATGACTGTTGGTCATCTAGCACCTCCCGGGCCACGGTAAAATTGTCAAGCATTGACCGGATCGTGGTGATAAAAACATTGGGGACCACCGCTCTAGGGTACATCCTATGGAAAAATCAGAAAGCTTGCCAATTAAAAGTCCTTAAAAGGACAAACTAACAAAACTAAATATCACATTATAAAGTATTGAGTTATTTAAAAGCGAACAATCTACTTCAATTACCTTACCTTTAGATTGAAATTCAAATGTTTTGTAAAGGCTGAATAATTTAGTGATTGCGTTTTAAACTACACCTCTCAATGGAAAATGGACATTTTATAAGGAACATTAAAATTAATTAAGAATTATTCCACAGGATCACCACAGAGCCACCACACTCGATTATAACAATTTCCAAAATTAAGGGTACACACTCACTAGGGCAGTACCATCTTTACTTTCCCCTTAAAAAAAAATCTCATTACAGAGTAGATAAGGCCTTGAGGCTTGGAGGGGCCCACAGTGTCTGGGGTAAGGGGTGGAGGGGGGTGCAAATTTTACAGAGGGAAGACCCCCTCCCAAATGCCCAGAGCAGAATCCTGTGCAGCATAGGACCCAGAACACCAAGCCATTGCTTAAGGGTACACTAATGTGCTAATATGCACATTTTAAGGGGTATACAGTTCAAAATTGGCCCAATTCAGGATACTGCCCCAGTGACAAGCTGTTGCATCCCTAAAGGTCAAATTTCTGCACTTTCTTATCTGACAGTGCACAACAGCAAGGAAGCTGAAAGCCATAACAGCGCTAATATATAGAGAAACCCACAGAACACAAAATCTGTGAGGTCTCATCTAAGATTTGCAGCAAATTCAAACACCAACAGCACTTCCACTGACACAAATTCTTCACGCATTCTCAATCTTTCATGATCAAGGAATAATCCCAAATAAGAATGGTCTCCATTGAAAACATGGAACAATTGGAAGTGATCCTTTATATGATATTTGATGATGTGACAAGTTTTCTTTTTAATTTTCTGATTTTGAAGAAGTTTTATTTCCGCAATGCTGATGTATGTATTATGTTCTTTTGGAGCTGAACTGGACAGGAGCAGTTGTGCCTCAAAAAAAGATGTAGATGATCCTAGACGATCACTGACTCTCTCTCTCTCTCTCCATCTTTTTCTCTTCTGCTCTCAATCTCCATTCATCTCCATCACCTTTTCTGTAAGTATTTCCCGGAAGGTCGATAGCTGTTTCATCTGCTCCGTCTGCATTGAGTGTCTCCTCATGAGTTTTTTCTTCATCTTGAAGTCTGGCCCACGTTTTGGGGATGAAGGTGCGACCGGCAGCAGGATCTTGCTCCCTGAGTGAACGGGAGAAGTGGGCTTTCCGTTGGCACGGATATCAGGAATGGGTCGCTGGGGATTGACGTTGAGGGGTGGAAGGAACCCTGGTCGAGTGTGGGAGATGTGGTCCAAGAGGAGAGTCCCTGATCCCCGCCTTTCCAGCAGTCCTGTGGGACGCCGCCTCATTGTGATAGGAGATACTGAGTTGGGAATGCTCTCCAGGGACTCTCGAGAAGAGCTGGTGAGCAATGACAATGGAGAGGCATTGTATTTGCGGCGTTCAACCGAGACACGTCCAGAATCTGGAGATCCAGGGATGGAGGTAGGACACAGGTGAGTGTCCGACTCATAGTGCTCCATGCGGGTGAGTTTAGGGTGTGGTAAGCCACGGATGCCCGCTGATGCCTGAGCCACATTGTCTTGAGTCTCAGGAGCCGTGTTTCTACGATACAGTGATTGGTGCTGATTAACTTTATCTGCCCAGGAAGAACCACAAAGTGCGGCACAGTCTTCTGAACAGGACCGGTCCATCAGCTTCGGAGAAGATGGGTCATGGGTCTCTATACTGTGCCTACGTGACAGGAGAGGTCTGCCTGGACCAGAAACTGTCATCCCATTCATCTCCGAGACCAGTTTGTCCTCCTCTGCTAAATCACCCTCTATCCTCTCAGCTCGCTCAGCAAGTACGGAAGGAGCAACCAGACCCCAAGGCTCAGAGTTCAGTCTTTTCAGAAGCTTGCGGGGTGGTGGTCTCCGCTCCCCTGGTGGTCTGCTGGATGGTAGCGGAAGTGCTGAAGTCATGGCAAAGCTGAAGATACCTTCCTCTTCCTCACCAGGGCCAGATCCAGTGGTATGGATCTCCACTTCTGATGGAGACATGCAAGCAGGGGAGAGCTTGTCCACTATACCAGGAGATGGTGGGGAGTTCAGGTATTGTTTGGTCTTTTTAGTGCCAGAGGGAGATGTATCGGTGGTAATGATGATTACCTCTTTGCCTTTGGCTTTGCAGGCATCCAGTAGGACCTGGAGAGTGTCTCGATCACCCTTATTGATGGCATGTACGAGTGCCGAAGCCCCAGAGTAGTCTTTCAAACTGGGATCAGCACCGTTTTCCAGCAGCAGCGACACCACCTCTTTGCCTGCCAGTTCTGCACATGCATGCATTAAAGCAGTCCGGCCCGTTTTATCGGGAATATTTGGGTCTGCTCCCTTCTCCAGCAGGTAGCGCACCATTCTCTGCCGGGTTTGTGGATCATCATATCCTGCCAGACAGGCAGCTATGATGGGCGTCTCCCCTCGCTCATTCCCCTCATTGATATAAGCTCCGCCCTCAAGAAGGAGGCGGGTAAGGCGGAGTTTGCCATGAAACACTGCCTTCAGAAGGGCATTGCCCTCTGTGTGCAAGGCCCCTCCATCACCCATGATGTTTTGCTCTCCCCTTCTGGAATCCAAGAATTCCCCACCTCTCTCCTCCGGCTCTAACAATGTTGGTACATCCCACCTCCAACCTAGAACATAAACAAATAAAAGTAACTTGTCATGGGGTATGTTTGGCATTTTTATATTACTAACTGTTACTTTCACATCGCTTTCACATCAAAGCATTGCCGACAAGAGCATCATTGGCTCTGGCCACCCTGCCATTGGCGCTCTGACAATCAAACATGTTTTCTAACTATATAAACCAATTAAAAAAACAATTAAAATCTGTTTGTGTAGTGAGGCTTTTGTATTCATGTTTAAGTGCCAGTCTAGTTCTAACATGCTGTTTGTAGAAGACGTTTAATAGCCTTGTTCTTCACATTAATACTAATTCGTGTGCATCCTACATTCACACTGGGAAACCTGCATAGCAATAACCAACCTCTGCTTTTGTTTTGCTTGGGAACTCATGTGGTCAAAACCAAAGTTTATTGGACAGCATTCTCTGGAAATCTCTCAAGTGGTGGACAAGTACATTCCAGTAGGTTGATGCCAAACTGCATCATATCCCATGACCATAAACTCTTCTAGATGCACATACAGTTCAAAACATGCAGCTCCGCAATAACAATATTATGTTCTTGCCAAAAATACTCTATACAGAGGTCCCTTGTTAATCGTTTTAAGTTACGTTTTAAAAAAATAGCCTCCAATAGGTGAAATCCTCGAAGTAGTTCGCTTTATTTTTTTCACAGTTATTATAGATGTTTTAAGGCTGTAAAACACCTCATTACACACTTTATACACTTTTCTCAGATATGCATTAACATTTTCACACCTTTCTCTCTTGTTTAAACACTTGCATAACTTCAACTTTCTGTTAGCATGTGCAGAAGTCCAACTGTTTTTGCGATGGTTAGCAATTTCCTCTGCCTTTTGGGTGCTAACGCAGGTGCCTTTGATAGCGCAAAATGTTTTGTTGACATTGTAGGGTTTGTTGGGGAGAAAACTTGCAAACATACAGTACAGCACTTCAGAGTTACACTGCTAGCAATCAAAGATTTGTGTAAATTTCCTGAACGCATTCTGTATTGTACAGGAGACACGGCAGGCAGGAGATTGATTGAGAATATTCTACAGCCAATCGGGACGCAGAACACAATGTGGTGTTAAAAAAAAACAAAAAAACGTCAAAATGCACAAAAAAAAATCTGTAAAACTGCAATACCGAGGGTTCTAACATGACGACGAGCTAGACAGACATACAAATCAATGCTCCTAACCACAGATGGCCAGATTTTGAAATTTAGGATGCTTTAAAATATTAAACTGATGAAATAGCCTGGTCACAAAGAATTGCTTCACCATGACAAACTGAAGAATTACAAGGAAGAATCCAGACATAACTGAGGAAAATCCTAACAGCGTCAAAGCTAACGGTAGCACCAAGCTAAAAGGTGATGCTACAATGAACACCGGAGAGAACAAGGTGATGAAGGCTCACACAGATATGAAACACTTTATCACATCTCAATTCAAAGGCGTTCTATTCAAGTAATTTAAAATGAAATCTCCGAACTCGGAGGCAGATTATTAGAGGTTAAACATCGAGTTAGCGAAACCAAGGATAATGGTTTTGAAAAAGCTACAGAAACTGCAATGCCATAAAAGGTGAACCGCATTATGGTGAGGGACCACTGTATTTAATAATTTTCTACACATCAATCCAGAGAAGCAAAGTAATTATATTTTTTTTATTAAAAAATTTTCATACAAAATATTTGCGCAATAATTCTATTTTTCAACTAAAGAACTGCACAAGCTTAACACACAATAAATTGAGTCAGACATTATTGACAATATGGCATGTATGAAATGAGATATTACTTTAAAACATTTCATATTTTGATACATATGATGTTTAACTTTTATTTTTAGTTTAGTTATTTAATACAGCTGAAAGACAGTTTGACTCTAATTTAAATAATTAAAAGAATTAAATTTATATTGTCGATGCATTGAGAAGTATAGGGTTTTATAGAATCAAGTGTTTAAATAACTCTTCGAACAACAAAGTTACGAGGCGACATGGTGGTGCAGTGCGTAGTGCTGCCGCCTCATAGCAAGAAGGTCGCTGGTTCGAGCCTCAGCTCGGGTAGTCGGCATTTCTATGTGGAGTTTGTATGTTTTCCCATGTTCGCGTGGGTTTTCTCCGGGTGCTCAGTTTTCCCCACAAGACATGCTCTAAAGGTGAATTGGATAAGCTAAATTGGCCGTGGTGTATTCGTGTTAATGAGTGTGTATGAGTGTTTCTCAGTGATGGGTTGCAGCTGGAGGGGCATCCGCTATGTAAAACACATGCTGGATAAGTTGCCGGTTCATTCCGCTGTGGCGACCCCAGATAAATAAAGGGACTAAGCCCAAACGAAAATGAATGATTTAATAAATAATTAAAATAATTCAATTTATATTGTCCATGCATTGAGATTTACAGGGTTTTTGTCAAGTAAGTAAATTACTTAGATTATTCTAAATTATTTTTCAGCCAAAGTCATCTAAATACAATTTTAATGATGTCATTTGTAATTAATAATTATTTCTTAAGTAACTAACCCAACACTGGTTGTCAGTTAGTCATATACCCAATGCATTAACTACAGTTAAGCCAAACCATATTGTATCCCACTACCGTCTTATTTTGTTGCGTTCTGAACACTGTGTCCTGTACGCTGACACTCTGTGCAGCCCTGTACTCTTTAACACACTCTCCCCTTCATCTTCTCTGTAATGAAGGCAGGAGAGAAGATGATAATGGCAGTCCAGTAAAGAAAAGAAAATTGAATTCCTGAGTAGTGCAAAGAGCATCCAGACATGTGACAAGTCAGCTCTGCACACGAAAGAAATGATTTATGATGTGCGTGTACATCTTACACAAAGCAGACACCGGAAATACACCAACACAAAAAAATGATGTTGTTTGAAATTGCTTCATTGTCATCTGACATTTAGCCATCGCAAAGTAAGGCAAATAAACCACGTTTAACAGAATGACTGAACGTTTTGGAGCAGAAAAATCTGTGTGGGCCGGCATTAGTGTGAAAGATGATTATAATAACCATTACACCATTACAAATCCTACCCTAAAATATCCCCTGCTTTGGGGTGCATGTTCAAAACATCAATCAGAAACCTTCCCATTGTGCAACGTACGAGCTTTATTATACTTATGACCGTGGGCCAGCAGATCATTACAGTAACTATCTGGGTAAGATGATTAAAGCAAGTGATGAGAATGGGATAGAAGGGCATCCAGTCTAATAATAGCACCCATTAACATGCCGCAACCCTCAAAAATCAACTCAGACTTATTTGAAATTCAATGAGCCAGGTGCCATATTGATACAGGCACTGTGAGGATGAAGCCCCACCTCTTTTCAAACCCAAACCGATCAATAAGAAACTGATCCACACAAACAGAGAGGAGAGGAGGATCACATTGGTTTGACTAATTTTGCCGTTGATCATGTGTTGTCACGAAGGTTTGTCAGGCTGGTTCAAGCTGGTAACATTATCCAAGGACAATGTGGGAAGTCACAAAGGTCTATCTGTTTAACAGGATTTACTTATTAGTTATTTTTGCATTGCTTTTTATACCATAATCTGTTGAACACAATGAGAGTCCTACTTTTCTCATGTACTGTATAATTAGTTTGATTTATCTCCAGTGGTCTTCCTGTCGCTGCAGCTTTGCATGAAGATCCTGAACTCTGGGGATATAGAGCAGGAATAAGCAAAGATGTATTGGGACTAAAAAGAGCCCTTCTTGCTCAGGACAACACAAAATTAATATTAGTTTGAGTATGTACGCCACTATTCAAATGTTTAGACTTATTTGTACAGCATTAATTAAACCAATCAAAACTTAATTACATTTGATCAAAGACATTGATCATGTTAATTATAAATACAGTGCTTAGCATAATTGAGTACACTCCATTTTAAAGATGAATATTTTTATCCATTTCTCAGTGAATATAGGTGTATTTTGGTGCATTTAAACAAAACGGATTTATTAAACAGATATATTTATTCAAATAATATTTTAGTCACTAAACATATTTAGAAAGAGAATACAATTAAATTCTAGCTAAATTTTGCAAAAATAAATTACATCCCACAACATTTCAACTAAAGTTTTCTTTTTTTTTTTTTGTTTCTCATGATTTTTGCTCTTTTTTAAAAAATTTGTATTTAATTTTTTTCTATGACATAAATTTGGGTGTACTTGTTTTTGGACTGGTATCGTAAGTTATTTTGTTAGATAATCTCCAGATTTGGCCTCAGTACTGACTAATATAATGTATATGCACAAATATATATATATATATATATATATATATATATATATATATATATATATATATATATATATATATAAAACTAAAAACTGGACAAAAAGTGGAATGAATTAAATCAGGTGAGGTGGAAAAAGTATAATTATCATATAATGTATCATATGAAAATATAATCAAAATTGGAGGTATTTTAATGAAATTCTGACAGAATAAATTTTTGCTTGAATTTTTTGAGACACGGTATATATATATATATATATATATATACCGTGTCTCCAAAAAATTTAAGCTAAATATATATATCTATCTCAAAAGTACTTCAATTTCAGGTTATGAGCAAAATTCTAAATTTATTCACAGGAATTTTCTAACCCCAGTTCGGCTATATAGAATATTTCCCAATTATTCCCAGCTATATTTCAAATGTGAGTTAGACATTGGCACAGTGATGCATGTATTTTGGGATTGCGACAAAATCTAAATGTACTGGAAAAAGATTTACAAAACGATTAAAAAAATAATTGGAAAGTTTCCCAGTGATGGGTTGCAGCTGGAAGGGCATCCGCTGCGTAAAACATATGTTGGATAAGTTGGTGGTTCATTCCTCTGTGGTGACCCCAGATTAATAAAGCAACTAAGCTGAAAAGAAAATGAATGAATAATTGGAAAGACTTTTGCTTTGTCCCCAAAGGTATACCTTCTGAATTGAACATTGGAACTGTGCTTTAATC